TGGTGTGTTTAAGTCAGAATGGCTTAGAAGGCACACTATACGCTAGGAACCATGGCATGTACAAGTCAGAATGGCTTAGAAGGCACACTATGGTTAGGAACCATGGCATGTACAAGTCAGAATGGCTTAGAAGGCACACTATAGCTAGGGACCATGGCATGTATAAGTCAGAATGGCTTAGAAGGCACACTATAGCTAGGGACCATGGCATGTATAAGTCAGAATGGCTTAGAAGGTACACTATAGCTAGGAACCGTACAAGCATACAAAGTACTACCGGTAGTGTACATTGATTCTATCAAGATAATTTTACCAGTAACTCCACATTTTTCAATTATATATGCTTTGAAAAGAGGGCAAATGAATTTTATATTGATCCCTTATTTAAACCAAGACATCATGCAAATTGTATTGTGCCAACAGTGATACATTGTTGTTTGATATCAAGGTGTATGTTATGTATATATATATATATATATATATGGTGTATGATTTAAATACCTATTTGTTACTAATTATTCAGTTCATGTTGTCTGATGATGGTGGGATTGTGGTAGATGACCACATGAGAACCAACTTACCATATGTCTATGCTGCTGGTGATGTTTGCACTGCATCATGGGAATTTGCAACCCACTGGTTCCAGGTAATGTACACATACACATAGATGATGTACCTATTACTACATACCTTCCATGTGACGGTAGATTTGCTAATCACACCACAGAATAAGACATTAGAGATTGAAGCTTTAAATTCATTTTTCCATAATGAATGTTGTCTTTATATTTACTATTGTTTGTGTGTTACTATTCACTGAAAGTAAGTTTTACTTGTTTCAGGCCATAGGACTATGCTTAGTGTCTAGCTTTGGACCTCTATCCATTTCACCAATGTTATTGCATTTCGATATGAAGCGTTATATAAATTAAAATTACTACATAAACTTTTCCAGATGCGTTTATGGTGTCAGGCTCGTCAGATGGGTGCATATGCAGCAAAATGTATGATTGCTGATGAACAAAAAGAAGAAATACATCAGGACTTTTGCTTTGAGCTCTTTGCACATGTTACTAAATTCTTTGGATATAAAGTAAGTTAAATTACTCTTTCTTTCAAGCACATTATCCTAAGCTTGATGCTTACTTTCTATAGCGGACAGTTTTTGATTGACATGCTTTGTCAACATTTACTTGGAAAGTATTCTTTTATTGTTCTATTCATTGTGGAATTGTACTACAACACTAACCAGAGCATCCATGGAATGTCACTGACCACTACAACACTATGATCTGACAATCTATGGGATGTCACTGACCACTACAGCACTGAGACCTGAGCATCCATGGGATATTACTGACCACTACAACACTATGACCTGACCACTCATGGGATGTTACTGACCACTACAGCACTATCACCTGACCATCCATGGGATGTCACTGACCATTACAACACTAGAACCTGACACATCCATGGGATGTCATTGACCACTACAACACTATGACCTGACACATCCATGGGATGTTACTGACCACTACGACATTATGACCTGACACATCCATGGGATGTCACTGACCACGACAACACTAGGACCTGAACATCCATGGGATGTCATTGACCACTACAACATTATGACCTGACACATCCATGAGATATCACTAACCACTACAACACTGTGATCTGACCATTCATGGGATGTTACTGTACACTACAACATCAGACCTGACACATCGATGGGATGTCACTGACCACTACAACATTATGACCTGACACATCGATGGGATGTTACTGGTCACAACAACACTATGATCTGACCATCCACGGGATGTCACTGACCACTACAAAACTATGATATGAAACTCCATGGGATGTCAGTGACCACTACAAAACTATGGCCTGACACATCCATGGGATGTTACTGACCACTACGACATTATGACCTGACACATCCATGGGATGTCACTGACCACGACAACACTAGGACCTGAACATCCATGGGATGTCATTGACCACTACAACATTATGACTGGACACATCCATGGGATGTCACTGACCACTACAACATTATGACCTGACACATCCATGAGATGTCACTAACCACTACAACACTGTGATCTGACCATTCATGGGATATTACTGTACACTACAACATCAGACCTGACACATCGATGGGATGTCATTGACCACTACAGCACTAAGACCTGAGCATCCAC